ACTTGTGAGAGGACTTGTGACTGGACTTGTGAGAGGACTTGTGGTAGACTCTGGCCAATAGCGGGTCAGTTGTACTCTGAACATTCTTAATGCATTTAGATCACAAATTTCCTTAACCCTAACTGCCCAAGGGTTGCTGGCCCTAACCTTCCCCATTCACACAAAGTTAAACACCCATATGAGACTTTGTGCACAGAGGCTGCTGAACTTTGTTTTTCTGAGGTATGCCAAACCCAATGCAAAAGCCAGCTGTCTGGGCCTACCAGACCTATCCCCACAGAATTAAACACTTTACTAATGTTTAATTCTGTGTGATTGGGGAAGGATAGGATTAAAGGGAACATGCTGCTATGCAAATGCACCAAAACTTGTCTAAATAGTGCTAATGACATCAATAGCTTAACTAAGATTTACAGAACATCTACAGGTCTGAGCAAGGGAAGGTGGATCTGATGCAGACCAGAAGTGGTAACATTTTCTGTAATTTTTTGTGCACTCTTTAGGGGCTAGGGTCAAACCTTTATCCAGAAGGATAAATCAGACCACACTGGTTGAACTGTCAAGACAACATCTGTTTTTCACTACAGCTTTTCTGTATCTTTTCAGAGTTTGAAAATAGACAACTCTGTAAACCATTTCCAAGTTACACAGCCTCAAACTCTCCATTCTGCAGTACTTTCATTCCAATTATTCTAGGCATTTGTCAGTATGCAAAAGACAATTTGGTAAGACTTTGCTGTAAAGAGCAGCTGGTTTAACAGTAGCCATGGCAAATGTATGTGAAATAACTCCCAGGCAACCATCACTTTTTTTAAAATTACCTTCAGCCTACCTATATATGTAATTAGTGAGGTTAAATTCTACCTTGTTGTGTTGAGCCTCCACTACTGCTGTCAGCAGGATTATGGCGCCCTCTGTGGTCCTTTCTTGCAGCACTTTGACTGCTTCCAGCTGACTGCTCAGATGACCCGCTGTGACTGCACGGAGGCCTCATCTCAGACACGTTGGTGGGCATGATCAATGTAGTGGATGCATAGGGCTCTGTCACATGTGGTGGTAAGGAGTTACTGACGGTAAGTTTTTCCTTGGTGTGTTCTGGACATCTAGGCATTGGCAAGGTTAGTGCTGAATGAGGACCATGCACCACATCACCTGCATACACAGCATCTTCATCATCATCATCTGCATTATCAACCACAGCATACACTGGTCCACCACTTCTACATGAGATAAACAACACAAAGTCAAAGCTTGTCGGTACAAACATCCTTCACTTCTTACATTTATTCTCAAACAATATAGCACTGTTCAAGTTAAGTTCACAAAGCTAAATTAAAAGTGGCATACCAAGAATAACTCCCCCTCCCCACTGCCGGGGAGGCAATATGGTCAAAGTAATGGCATATTTAGGCAATGGATATTTCAATAATGAGGGCACCTGAATGTTCCACTGTCCCAAAAAAGGTATAAAATGGGCTTAGACACAGTTCCCAAACTTTCTGTGAATATCAACATTCCATTCATACTCATGTAAGTCTTAACACTTCAAATGCTTCTTCAATCTTTATGTACCAAGTCAGGACAACCTTGACCTTGTGACTTGACTTCTGCACCACCTTCCATGTACATATTTCAGCATCTACTAGCACTGTATATTCACTCCCTGCCCAACACAAGTTCCCTCTCAATGCTGACAAGCAGAAAGGATGGGGCTGCATCATATAGTCAGTACCCATGCCAGTATAAAGTTACAAATTTTCCTGAGTGGACTTCATGCCAATCGCATGGAAACATGTGCGCACACACAGTGTATCACCTGAGGGAACCACTACTAGGTATAACAGATCCCTGCCTTGTCTATACACACAGCATACATGTAGATACCGTATCTAGTCACAACTACTTTTACTGAAAATGGCATTTGATACAAATTACAATGATTTCATAACACTTCTGATTACTTTACAAATATGGCTGCCCAAATGAAAATTTGCTACTTTGTTGTAAACGTTTAAAGCGAGTTGCAGGTACTTTGCTCAATAATGAGCCAGCTCAGTATTTCAAAAATGCATGGTAAAGTAAGTGGGCAAGTTGGTTCGTAAGCGCACTGATAGGGTACCTCATGTGCATGTACATGTATTGCTGTTCTGCATTTGACCTCAAGACGCGACTCAGCCATGCATAGTTGGAACACCAAAGTGGATCATTGTGAAAATGACAAAGTGTCATCGTATATTATTGTACAAAGGCTGTAGTTGCACCATTGAACTACTGTGGGAAATCTTTCCTCTTTCCGTACGACTGTATTTTCACTCTATTGTCCACATACATGCATTAAATTTTCACAAATCCATTAATCCTTGCACCTGTGATGTGCAACAAAATGCACAAGGCCTACAGTATGTATGAACAGGTGTTTTCAGGTAATATCAGATAATAAAGACAAATGCCTTGCCCCAGCAAGTTATTAAAGTTTTCGGGGAAGAAATTATATCAGCTTGACATTGACTAATTCATGACTGTGATTCTGTCTGAGTGCCACATCACAATCATGTTCACAGAGTGATAATGCATTATGCAGCAAAAAATGAATCTATACACTCTGTATAACTTGGTAGACTTATATGATAGGAGACATATGATTTGAATAATGTGCAGGTATGGCTTAGGTCATGTATGTGGATAAACTGGGGGAAAAATGAGAATGATGAATTGCTTTTACTGGCTGGGAAAACTCTTGGGAACTCCTGGTGATGTGTCATCAGATACTGCATTGCAGATTACCTTTATTCTCATTTTGGTCGGAATGATTTATCTTATGAATTATCAATGTGCTGAAGTGTTTGACATGAACACTTAACAACAATTTCTATTTGAAGTTTTGTGGCCATACGTCAGTGACTGTTTAATATTTTATTCGGGGGGGGTTTGCATATGAGACAATTTCTATGCCATTACATGACTCTCATTTCCAAACTGATTCTTTTTTGAAGGTTGTGCAAATAAACAGTATGATCAGATTTTGTTGAGATTTAAGATCATCTGTCCATTGTATCTATGGGCTGCTTGGCCATTGTAGGTCTGGTTATTTTGGACAGCTGTTGGTTACTGAAATGATAATTCAACAAGATACAATTACAAACCAAATTAAAAATGCAACTACAAAGTTGTTAATGTGTTTCAAATAAATGCAAGTCATGATGTAATTATGAAGTTGCAGCGTGTGACATGAAGACAAGACTACCCACCCGTAGCATGAGTGACTGGGTGGACACTGGTGACATCGTCTCCCATTAGAACCAGGTTGTTGTGTATCATATTGCCTCAAGGTACCGGACTCAGGATCTGTAACCAACACACAATACATCCATTCATCGCTGCATTAATTCATGAGAAATTACTCATCGGAACACGAAGGTATGCAACCTATGGTATGCATCATAAGACAACATCAACAACACAGCTAACACAAATGCTGTTGCTACTAAAATCAATTCCAACAGTTTGATGCTTTGATCTTAGCAGATACTTTCTCAAGGCAAATTGGCAAACTCGAACTCCCAAACAAGCTGATTACATGTGCAAGATGATAAAAAACAATTGATAGCAAAATCCAACGCAATTCATACAATGCTCAAATGAAATAGAGTGAAATTTGCCACTGGGATGTCGATGTTGAACTTCGTTTTCAAAAAAGTTAAGAAAATTACAATATGTAAACGAAAACAGGTAATGAAATGACAAAGTGCAATTGCAGTGTGCAGCTGAGCATGGGATAACATCAAATTTACTATTTCTTTTCTGAATCTGCTCCATTCTGTGTTATGTAAAAAACAACTGGAGCTAGTGATTATGCAGAAAGCATCAGAACACACAGTAACTGCCAGGAAACTCACTGAGCTAGCAAACTTCAACACTGCTGGTACCTACTGGCACACTCAGCTTCAGTCATATAGGAAAGTTTTTTTATTGGGTTCTGCTTAAGCTTCAGTTTAATGAATTGAGTGCTCTGAATTGAGATTATTTGGCTCAGCGTTCTTGTGTTTTCTTGTTGGGAAGGATCATAGGATCTAATGCAAAACACAGTCTGTTTTTTTTCTTTTGGTTCCAACAGTAAATGCTTCAGCCTATTTGTGGGTCTTGCGATGAAATAGAAGCTGTAAGAAAGCCCAGATTTGGAAATGGCCCTGGTGCTTAATGGGGCAAGATTAGTGGTAGTTAGGTCTAAAAATGGTCAAAAATTCAATCTCTTGAGCTTTGTCTCGGAAAAAAATTAAACTCGTTACACTGTTTTACAATTAAATTTATTATGAATGAATACGGTATGAATACCTAAGTTTACATGCGATTGCATACAGTACTATCTTACACTCCTGTGCATTGCCATGTAATATGCAACATACTAGTACCAATAATTACCCCACTTGTGCAAGTGAAACACAGAATAATGTAGCGTCTGCATTAGATGTACTGCTTTTTCTACACTCCATCAAGCCAACTTATTGCAAATTAAAAATTGAACATTCATGCAGCACACAAAACCAGGCATTATTAAAAAGACAGTTTGTCGAGTATTGAAATTTTCAACATGTCGCATTCAAGTAAACATTCTCCACCTCAACACACCTGCATCGATAGACCTTTTTGGATTCAATTAAAACTAAGAGTGAATTGAGGAAACGTCTATATGCAAATGCATGTTTAATCAACATTAGATCAAAACGTAACACTTTTTTACAATTTGAATATGATGCAGTTCTACATGGGTTTAGAACAGCACAATGCGCAGAATTCAGTGTGATGCTAAGTGTAATAAGGGCCATGCGGTAGGGTATAATACTACAGACCTGTTACCATGGATTAACTAGCCAGAGAATGCAAATTTGCTTGAAGATAAATAATGCAAGCTTGTCATGAATCAACACAGCTTGTGAGGAATACTGCTTAGAATGAAGAGAGGGGCCGGATAGTGAATGTTAACAACTGATGATTCTTAGTTCTTGCCAAATTATACCAACCACAAACAAAGGATACTGTACTTAACTCATTGCAGCTTAGAACAGAAGACATCTGATGGTCCAGAAATTCAGTTTACACAAAAGCAAAGCCTAAAAAGCTCAGCAATGTCTCTTTTAAGCTGTAGCAAGGGTTCATAAATTAAAGTCAATTGTTCCTGGGTATGTGCAAGAAAGGAAGTACAAACTAGAGAACAAATGCATCAACAGAAACAACAGAAATTCTTCTGAGGAACCACTGTTATTGTCACTGCCATGCAGGGTTGCTGAAAATTTGAAGTAGGTCAAAATACAACTGTAAGTACAGGCAAATGGGAAATGGGTAATCAAATGTCAAGTTACTCTTGAGAATGAATGAGTTTTTATAGATGAGGATAAATGAAGTTAGCGCACCATAAGCTTCCAGTAGCCAGTATGCAGTATTGTTAGGCTGCAAGTATTCTGCTCTGTTGAGTGAGGATGAAGCTGAGCCAATAGGCACACAAGGCCTGTTACCATGGTGATCAGATGTATCTGACAATAGACCGACAGTTGAAGGTAGAGGGCGCTGTGATGGATTGACCCAGCCTTGGCTTCTCTGTAAACTGCTTTGTACGCTGCTGTGGTTGCTAGATACAAACTGACCAGAACTGCCGATCCCCCTGAAGAAAAAATGATCAATAACTTGGGATAGTGCAAGATTGTTGTACACTTTTTAATATGAAACGGTTTGATTACAATTTACTTTCTATGTAAATCATTGTTCCATGCTTCAAGTTTGTTGGTGAGATTCGAGAAACTAGAGAGAAATGCTTCTCTTATCTAATAAGTAGACGATTGGCTTTTCAAATCCAATAATACGAGCAATTCACAACACACGATGCAATGTGCATGTAGGGAGAGTCTGTTTGTAGGTACCTTCAGAGCATTGAGATACAGAGGCTGTTTTGTGTAGATTTTAGTCTTTGTATAACAAAGAATTAGATTGAACTTTTCTCAGGAAAAAAGAGCGCTTTAATATTTTTATGTTTCTGAGTGGTTTGAAACTAAAGACGAATGTATTATTGATTGTTGAACAATGTGCATGAAGGAATTGAAACCGGAACTGGAGAATTAGCCTGTTTAACCCTAAAAGAGCCGGGGGGCAGTATATCCCCCCCCCATCCATCGTAAAATGTGGCTAGCCAGTGATTTCCATGCATGAAATGGTTATTCCCTGCCATTGCCAGGTAATTACGACCCTTATATGATCTCAAACTTCACAGGCCAGAGGTCATACATGTACTTACATATTATGTGCTGCTGCTGCATTGTCCCTGCTGATTGGTCCTGTCAGAAAATGAATCAACACTACTGTTAGGTATGCTCTAATTGAATGAAATTATTGGACATTTATCATTAGAGGTTCTTCAGTTTGTATGTTGTTAATAGCCAAATTATGTTAAGTTTGCTGTATCCTGTGATGTCTTCCAATAGCACTTTATAAGAACACACAACCACACATGCATTCATGTACTTGTTCCCAAGTCGTGGGGACTAAACACATTGCTTAATCATTATTGTTGGGACCAACAGCATTACCCAGACAGAACACTTTGTCAGTAAGTGACATACTTCATTTCAAAATTTCAATATACCACATGCTCCTGTTCCATCATGTAACTCCTACAACCATGAGAGACTACCCAGGGGACCCCATGAAGAGACAAGTCACCGAAGCTGTCCTTATGAGAGAATTCAAACCTGAACTAAACCGCAAAGACGCATGGTGTAACTCGTGCGACTCATCCAAACCCTGTACGTGTCCATTGCCAGGGCACACACTAATTGCACACGACAACATGCACACACACAGTAGAGGAACATAAAGCTGCGTCATCAAAGGATTAAGAACCACCGAAGAAGCCTCGGAGTAGAGGCGAAATATTTGAACAAAGGTAAACAACTAAGGTCTGCATCTACCATAAGTATGAGCAACTTCATAAGGATATCAACAGTAGGCCTTAAAACATTGAATCCATTTATTATAATTCTACAAGAGAACTGATCAATGCTGCATTTATTAGATAACAATCTTACCTTTACTGATGGTACCAGCTAGTTTATATTGCTTACGTCTCCTCCAGACAAACACAATGATACACAGTAAAATCAAGAGGAAGAAGACAGCTAAACTAGCAATGAACCAGGGCTGGGTGACAATACTACCAGAGTCATCACCGTCATCCTCCCAATCAAGTCCGTCTCCTCCACCTAAACCGCCCGGAGTAATATGACAAATCACAATACAATAATCAACAAAAAATGGCTACAGAATTGTCACATCTCACATCAACCAGTTAGGGAGCTGACTGTATAACGTTTTGCATGATAACCAATTCCAGTGTAGTGCCTGACTGCTGCAATGAGAAGGATGAAAAATGAAAATGTGATAAATCTGCTGAATGTTTAATGAATTTCAACGACTTGGTAAAGGTTGATCCACATTTCACTGGTTATTCTGGGCAATACTCTCTCTTGTTGCAGGAGCATCTGGGAACACTGATTATAAATAGGGAGATTACATTCCAATCCCAGCTACTTTGCAATATTTGAAATTTACTCAAAGTGAATGTAACCAGTTCACCTTTGTGGTTTTTTAAAAGAGAATTGCAAATTAGCATACTATATTCCTCCATTTATAAAAAAATCAACATGGTTGATGAAAGAAAAGTTTCAAAGCAGTTATCTACAGAACCCTAATAGAGTCTACAAAGACACCATGTTACAGGAAATAAATGACATCTTTACTATTCATTTTCACTGGCCATTAAAATAAATATTAAATGATAGTAGCTGGGCTCTACCTTCCTCAATCCTGCAAAAGCCTTACAAACCTACTGTTAGATTTTGAAGGATGTGAGAGGATAAGGCTTAACACGGTAACATACCTTGGGTGATTTGGACACGTATTACAGAACTGGAAGGCCCTTCGCCTGCTGTAGTAAATGCAGCTACACTCAACTTGTACACCTCGCCTACCAACAGCCTAGTCACACGCACTGACAATTGACCAGCTTCAGTGGTCACATTTTTGTGTAGTGCTGCCGTATATGCAAGGCAATACACATTATAGCCAGCAATGACTCCTTGCACTGTGCTTGCAAGGGGAGGGTTCCAGGTAACTAGAATGGCAGCTGTTCCATTGTTTACCACCTGGACATTGCGTGGAGCAGAAGTGGGCACTGGTATTAAAGACAAAAATTGAAACACAAGAATATAAGTGATTTGCTGATGAATTATGTGTGATTTGGACAACTTTCTACAAGTTCTTCTTTTGGATAGACACAACTGTTGAAGAATTACTAGGCCACTTCTGAAAACTGGCTTAATCTCCTGCTTAGGTACTGTGCTAGAGTCCTGGATTTGAGGTCACTTGTGGAGCAAATCTGGTTCAATATAAAGCCAACTGCTTTGTCACAGTTTTTCACACAGAATACAGAAAACAAAATACTCGAGTTTTAGTTTTTCTTTTGGTGCTGATATTATTGTACCACAAATATTTCCTCAGTCAATGACTACGCCACTGCTAGAGACCAAACTGAGCCTTGAAGGAGACACTGGCTTGAACAGTGCTCAACAGCATCTTACACCTGTTCATTAGCACATGGACAAATAACTATTGCATGAATTGTCCATAATGCAAAACGCATTTATGTCTTTTTTCCCATCTGATATGACCATGAACATCTTGATACACAGCAAAGGATCAGCAGGCACATGAATTCAGCTTCAGTTCATAAATATGCATGGGGCACAGTAACGTGCAAGAACAGACAGAAATGGGTTGACTGACCACCAGACTGTGTCCTAGCATCTTGATGGGGACTTTCAGGTCCCAGGTAGAGCCCATTGAAGGGTTGTATTGTGACTCTGTACCATGTCCATGGAGTCAGGTCTGTCAACAGCTTAATGTTAGATCCAGTCACTGTCTGAATGATCATATCATGGCTGTCTTGCACACTATACTTGATGTGGTAGCCGTCAATGTATGGTTCATTCTTGCTGACCTAGGAATCAATGCAAATAACACCAATGCAGAATGAGGCCAGTGTGTGCTTGGAAGAAGTAACTAATGAGTGTTCGCATGAAAGACAAAAAACCAACATTAAGCATATCCTCAAAAAGGTAATATACTGTCAATGTACAACTTAAGAGCAAAAAAATTTCAAACTCATAAACTTAAAAATACACAATGCTACAATGCAAGAGCGGTTAAAATCTTAGGTTAAAGGATGCTTTGCTTTGGACATCTGCAATCCTTCGTTGTCCATATTGTGGCTGAGTCTGAATACAGTAGTGTGGTTTTGCCATTGGCCTACCACAGAAGAATGGCCATATCATTGGCATACCACAGTGAGTGACCATACCAAAGGCATACCACAGTGAGTGGCCATACCAAAGGCATACCACAGTGAATGGCCATATCATTGGCATACCACAGTGAGTGACCATACCAAAGGCATACCACAGTGAGTGGCCATACCAAAGGCATACCACAGTGAATGGCCATATCAAAGGCATACCACAGTGAATGGCTGTACCATAGGCATACCACAGTGAACGGCCATATCATTGGCATACCACAGTGAATGGCCATACCACTGGCATACCACAGTGAGTGGCCATACCATTGGCATACCACAGTGAATGGCCATACCACTGGCATACCACAGTGAGTGGCCATACCA